ACCGAGGGTCGAACGGCGCGAATCGTAGATGCATCTATTTCCCCGCTCACGAATCATACATGCGACGCATCCCCGCTCGCGAATCATACCTGCGATGCGGTCAAATATAAATTTAATATTTAAGTCATATCTCTTTTTTGATTCTTTTTCGAAATAATGAAAATTCATCTTGAAACTTTTTGAGTAATTTACCCCGCTCGCGAAACATACATGCGATGCGGTTACCCATAGATTTCTTAAGCCATTATAAGATTTCTCAATTCTTTTAGAATATACTAACTTTGATGGAAACGCTTAATGTCTTAAATTCCTCAATTAAATTCCTTTCAGCACAATTATTACGCAACCTCAATCTTATTTCTCCTCAAGGCAAATAGTAAACTTATATCAACAACAATATCAACAAGGCATAATGTAGCCTAAAACTACGCGGACATAGGCATAATACTAGCTACATACGGACTCTCGTCACCTCATGCGTACGTAGCCCCCCACAAATAGGAGCACATATTTAATTATTTCACCTATGGGGTTAATTCCCTCTTACAAGATTAGAAAGGAGACTCACCTCACTCCGAAGTTCCATAACCAGCATTCCACGCCCTTCCGACGACTCAAATCGATGCACATTGCTTCAAAACTAGCCAATAGTTATGTAGACTCATTAGTATATGCTCAATTATTCATAATAATCCAATTTATAACAATTTCTAACCCCGATCGAAAATTTGACAAAATTTCCCTCAAGCCCACGTGCCCGGAATCCGAATTTTTTTTAAGAATAAGTTTGCCCACACCCTCACGAACTCAAATATATAATTTACTCTCAATTTCATGTCCAAAATCGTGGTCAAAATCCAAGAATACTAAATTTGTAGGTTTTCTTCAAAATCCCTAAAATTTCCACGATTTTACATGTTTAATCGATATATAATCCTTGCATTTAACCCATAACTAGAAGAAATCACTTACCTCTTGATGATGATGGAACTCCTTCTCAAATGCTCTCGAAAATCGCCTAAGACCAAGTGGGAATTGAGGGAAATAAGCTAAGTCTCGAAATAAAAGCTCTTGGCTCCAAGCGCAGTTGTCGCATTTGCGACATCCGGCTCGCAAATGCGATGGTCGCATTTGTGACAAATGCATCGCAAATGCGAAGCGAAGCCATTCCTGCCCAGGTCGCATTTGCGACCAGATTCTTCGCAAATGCGAAGATGACAACCTTGCAAAAGCAACCCTTAGTTCACAAATGTGAACTTCTCCCACAGTAGCACAGGCTCGCAAATGCGAGCTCCATCTCGCATTTACGATGGTCGCATTTGCGACCAAAACACCAAATGCTGTCACACCAGCACCAACAATGCCACTTCTCAACAAAATGCTCTGAAGCTACTCCGAAACTCACCCGAGCCTCCGGGGCTCCAAACTAAACACCCGCATAAGTCTAAAAACATAATACGGACTTGCTCAAGGCTTCAAATCGCATCAAACAACGCCAGAATCACGAATCACACCCCAAATCAAACTCGATGAACTTTAAAATTTCAAACATCTACTTTCGATGCTTAAACCTAGCAAATCACGTTCGATTGACCTCAGATTTTGCACACAAGTCATATTTACCATCACGGACCTACTCCAACTTTCGAAATCGGAATCAGTTGCCGACCCCGATATCAAAAAGTCCACTTCCGGTCAAACTTCTCAAAACCTTCAATTTCTAACTTTCGCCAAATGACTCCAAAATGACCTACGGACCTCCAAATCCACTTCCGATCGCGTTCCCAACACCAAAATCACCATACAGAGCTATTCTCAGGCTCGGAATCCCAAATGGACATCGATAACACTGAAATGAACTTCAACCCAAACTTATGAAATTCTTCCAAAATGTTAACTTACACAATAGGCGCCGAAACGCTCCCGGGTCATCCAAAACCCGATCCAGACATACGCCCAAGTCCAAAATCATCATACGAACCTGCTGGAATCTTAAAATCCCGATTCCGAGGTAAGTCCTTGTCAATTCCTCCAACTTAAAACTTCCAAAATGAGAATTTTCTTTCCAAACCAACTCCTAATTTTTCGGAATTCAATTCCGACCATGTGTACGAGTCATAGTACCTGAAGTGAAGCTGCTCATGGCCTCAAACTGCCGAACGACGCGCTAGAGCTCAAAACGACCGGTCGGGTTGTTACAAAATGCAGTCAAATAATATATGAGTTTAATGAGTCTAAGAAGTCAATTAATAAGTTTTGCTGCTATATGCAAGCAACCATTTTCACTTTTCAAGTCAACTATTTTTATTTTCTTTATAAATTGAAGCAAAAAAAATTTTCGAATAATTTAGTATGCCTATTATTACTATAGCAAGTTACAACTCATAGCAAACACTAATAATTAGCTACGAAATTTTATCATATCAATAAATTTGTGGCTACATTATTCAGTAATGACAAATACTGTAATTGTAGTTACTAAGCCAACTCTTACCACAATTTTTTAGGAGTTGAAGAAAAAATATTTTTTTAGCTAAAATATTTTAATTTAAATAATTTATTGTGGTTAAAAGGTTATTTTTGCTACAGTAACTTTTAGTTTATAGCAAAAATTAACAATTAGCTATATTATTTTGTCATAGCAATAAATATGTGGCTATATTATGTACCTATTGCCACGGTTTTTAATAGCTTGAAGCAAACGTATTTCTTTTGCTACAATAATTTATTTAAATAATTTATTGTAGCTATAAGGTTACTATTGCTACAATAACTTTTAACGCGTGGCAAAAACTTATGATCAGCTATGCAATTTTATTGTAGCGATAACTTTGTAGCTATTTAGATAGTTATTGCTACGATTGTTATCAATTATAGCAAAAATAAGGAATTAGCTTCACCAATTTAATTTTCGTGGCTAGCAAATTTTACAAATTTGTAAATAGCCAGGAAATTCTAAATAGCCACGAAAACACTAGGTATTAGCCACAATTTTTAAATTCGTAGCTAATATTTTGTAGCTATAAATACATAGTGTTGTAGTGTGAAAATAATCAAAATAATCTTGAAAGATCTATGTTCTATTATGTATGCATTTCTTTCATTTTAATTTTATATCAAAATGATCGTCCAGATACTTATTATAGACATGTCAACTACAATTTATTTTTAGTGATGGACCAATTATATAGCTAAATAATAAATATTTGTTGCTAATCATATTCGGTGCAGAATTAGTGGCACATTATAAATATACCCTATTAGTTACGAGACAAATTTTGTAATTAATCCTATTTTTTAAAGTCAAATTCTACAAAAAACTTTCTTGATAATAATATTAGTTTCTTCTTTACAAAAAAGTAATAATTTAGATTGTCACGACCCAAGTTCTCCCCCCGTGAACCGTTGACGGCACCTAGTCTCTATGACTAGGTAAGCCTAACATTTTACGGACATGAGACGAAAACATGAAAACTAACAATTTAACAGGTAAATCTAATTAAGAAGTTTAGAAGCCGCTCGGCATACACAATAATCACTCTCGAACTGAACATAAACGCTCCCAAAACCCGAAATATGGGGGAAGGGGACTCCGAGGTCTACGGCTGCGGCAGATATACCTTGAAGTCTCTACAGCTGGCTCGCCTCACGGATAATGTGCCTGATAAGCGGTACCTGGATCTGCAAACAAAAAACATGTGCCGGGAGGGTATGAGTACACCACAATGGTACCCAGTAAGTGTCGAACCTAACCTCGGTCGAGTAGTGACGAGATCAGGCCAGGGCCCTACTGGTATATATATATATATATATATATATATATATATATATATATATATATATATATATATATATATATATATATATATATATATATATATATATATATATATAAAATAAAATATGACAGAATGAAATATCGCGGTAAGAATAAATAGTGAAATTTAACAAGAATGTAATAGAAGAACAACAACTCAAAATAAAGAGATAACAACAAGGGATCTCCCAGGATACCGTCCCGTAGTCCCAAACGTAAATGTGCAGGAGGGATCTACCGGAATACCGTTCCGTAGTCCTAAATATGCAGAACATGGGGATCTACCGGAATACAGTTCCGTAGTCCCAAAGTAAATATGCAGAACAGGGGGATCTACCGGAATACCGTTCCGTAATCCCAAAGTAAATATGCTAAACAGCAGGATCTATCAGAATACCGTTCCGCAGTCCCAAAGTAAATATACACCTCAAACAAAGGAAATAACAGCTACAGCAAGAAGAACCTAAAATTTTGACTAAGTACCAGTCAAGGAAAAATACAAATTTTACTAAACATGTTGCACAGAGTTCAGATAGGCAGCTAAGGAAGTTAAGGCACGTAAGCATGCTTTTCTAAACAACACAGGATAATTACGTATGCTAGCGTAGCTTAATTAAAGGAAAAATAGATATTTTGCTTAATGAAAACGGAGTTTTTCAACAAATAGCACGTGTATGAACTCGTCACCTCATGCACACAACGCTCATATATCAAACAGTACCAAGGGCAGTTTCCCCACATAACGTAAATATAGCTACAAACAACTAATTTAGCTAATGAAATCAAAGATAAAGCAAAAAAATAGAAAAACGCCAAAAAATCCTCCCCGGGCCCACGTCTCGGAATAGGGTAAAAGTTACAAATTATGAACATCCATTCACTTACGAGATCACTCGTGCAAAAATCATCCAAAACCGATGCCTAAATCCCACTCAAATCTCAGATTTTTGGTTGGGGAACTTTTCCCCCAATTTCCCAACTTCCTCACTCAAATTCATTAATTCAATAAAAATAATAACTATGGATTAATGAAATATGGTCAAAATAGGATTAGGAATCGTTACCCAATGATTTCCTTTGAAAAACTCTCGAAAAATCGCCTTTCTCCCAGCTCTAAATCAAATTTTGTGAAATGAATTTCAAACCCTCGGATCTGCCCTTTTCTGCCTAGCGATTATCGCACCTGCGCTCCCGCACCTGCGGAATTTCCATCACAGGTGCGGCTTTTCACTTAAAGCACCTAGCCGCATCAGTGATCAAGAGGTCGCACCTGCGTGTGCGCACCTGTGTACCCTTGTCTGCTTCTGTGGTCCCAGATCGCTCTTGCGGTTCCTTCTCTCGCACATGCGGGTATCGCAGATGCTGAACTCCCCTCGCACCTGCGATCCTAGACCTCCTTCCCATTTCTGCTTCTGCGGTTCCACAGTCTCTTCTGCGGCTCCGCACCTGCGGACCAAAGTGTGCATGTGCGAAAACACCAGGTGCAGCAACTTCAGCAATTTTCATAAGTCTCAAACCAATCCGTTAAGCACCCGAAACTCTACCGAGGCCCCCGGGACCTCAACCAAACATACCAACAAATACTAAAATATCATACAAACTTAGTTAAGCCCTCAAATCACATCCAACAATGCGAAGAACACAAATCACCTTCCAATCCAAACTTAATGAACTTGAAACATCCAAATTCGACAACCGATGGCGAAATCAATCAAACCACGTCCGTTTGACCCCAAATTTTGCACAAAAGTCATATTCAACACTACTGACCTATTCCAACTTCCGGAATCGAATTCCGACCCCGATACCAAAAATTCCACTACCGGCTCAAAACTCCAAAAATTCGACTTTCGCCATTTCAAGCCTAAATAAGCTACAAACCTCCAAAATACTATCCGGACACGCCCCTAATCACAAAATCACCCAATGGAGCTAACGGAATCGGGAAAGTAATTCTCAAAATGAGTGGCTGGGTCGTTATATCCTCTCCCTCTTAAAACATTCGTTCGTCCTCGAACGAGCATAGAGACATACCTGAAGTGGTGAAAAGATTAGGATAACGGCTGCGCATATCCTGCTCGGTCTCCCAAGTCGCCTCCTCGACCGGCTGATCCCACCACTGAACCTTCACTGATGCAATGTTCTTTGACCTCAGCTTTCGAACCTGCCTGACCAATATAGCCATTGCCTCCTCAACACAAGATAGATCCTTGTCCAACTGGACTGAGCTGAAATCTAACACATGGGACTGATCACTGTGATACCTCCGGAGCATCGAAACATGAAATAGCAGATGAAATTCTGCCAAGCTGGGAGGTAAGGCAAGCTCATAGGCAACCTCCCCAACACGCCGCAACACCTCAAAGAGACCAATAAACCGCGGGCTCAACTTGCCCCTCTTTCTGAATCTCATAACACCCTTCATAGGCGAAAATCGAAGCAAGACCTGGTCTCCAACCATAAATGAAACATCACGAACCTTCCGGTCCGCATAACTCTTCTGTCTGGACTAGGCTGTGCGAAGTTTATCTTGAGTCACCTTAACCTTCTCCTAAGCATCCTAAAGAAAGTCTGTGCCCAATAATCTAGCCCTGCCCGGCTCAAACTAACCCATTGGGGACCGACACCGCCTACAATACAGAGCCTCATACGGTGCCATATAATGCTGGACTAATAAATGTTGTTGTAGGCAAACTTCGCAAGTGGAAAGAATTGATCCCAAGAACCTCCAAAATCCATCACACACGCACGGAGCATATCCTCAAGAATCTGACTAGTGCGCTCGGACTGTCCGTCCATCTGGGGGTGAAATGCTGTGCTCAACTCCACCCGAATACCCAACTCATGCTATACGGCTCTCCAGAACCGTGATGTAAACTGCGTGCCCCAGTCAGAGATGATAGATATCGGCACGCCATGAAGTCTGACAATCTCACGGATACAAACTCGAGCAGCTGCTCGGAAGAATAGGTAGTTATCACAGGAAGGAAATGAGCCGACTTGGTCAGCCTATCTACAATCACCTAAACTGCATCAAACTTCCGCTGAGTCCGTGTGAGTCCATCAACGAAATCCATTGTGATCCGCTCCCATTTCCTCTCTGGAATCTCTAACTTCTGAAGCAATCCACCCGGTCGCTGATGCTCATACTTCACCTGCTGGCAATTTTGACACCGAGCAACATATTCTATGTCCTTCTTTATCCTCTTCCACCAATAATGTTGTCTCAAGTCCTGGTACATATTCGCGTCACCCGGATGAATAGAGTACCGCGAGTTATGAGCCTCCTGAAGAATCAACTCACACAAACCATCCACATTAGGTACACATAGCCTGCCCTGCATCCTTAATGCACCATCGTCCCCAGTTGTACCCTCCTTAGCATCACCGTGCTGAACCGTGTCCTTAAGGACAAGCATATGTGGTCATCATACTGACGCTCCCTGATACGATCATAAAGAGAAGACCGGGAGACTACACAAGCCAATACTCGACTCAGCTAGGAAATATCCAATCTGACAAACTGGCAGGCTAAGGCCTGAACATCCATCGCCATGGGCCTCTCTGCTGCTGGTAGATATGCTAAACTCCCCAAACTCTCTGCCTGACGACTCAAGGCATCGGCCACCACATTGGCCTTCCCCGGTTTGGTACAAAATAGTGATATCATAGTCCTTAAGCAGCTCTAACCACCTCCTCTGACATATATTATCTGCTTGAATAGATGCTGCAAACTCCGGTGATCAGTATGGATCTCACAAGGGATACCGTACAAATAGTGACTCCAAATCTTTAAGGCATGAACAATAGCTGCCAGCTCAAGGTTATGGACAAGATAGTTCTTTTCATGCACCTTTAGCTGATTGGACGCGTAGGCAATCACCCTACGTCTTGCATCAACACCGCGTCGAGGCCAACTCGTGACGCATCACAATAGACTGTAGAAGACCCCGAACCTGTAGGTAATATTAATACTGGGGTTGTAGTCAAAGCTATCTTGAGCTTTTGAAAGCTCTTCTCTCACTCCTCCACCCACCTGAACGGAGCACCCTTCTGGGTCAGCCTGGTCATAGGTGCTGCAATAGATGAGAATCCCTCAACAAATGGACCGTAATGACCCGCCAAACTAAGAAAACTCCGCATCTCTGTAGTTGAGGATGGCCTGGGCCAACTCTGCACTGCTTCCACCTTCTTTGGATCCACTTTGATCTCTTGACTCGACACTACGTGACCCAAGAATGCCACGGAGTCCAACCACAACTCACATTTTGAGAACTTTGGATATAATTTCTTTTCTCTCAAGGTCTGAAGCACTGTCCTCAAGTGCTACTCATAATAGTCCCGACTCCGGGAGTACACCAGAATGCCATCAATAAAGACAATGACGAACGAGTCAAGCTATGGCTGGAATACACTTTGCATCAAATGCATAAATGCTGCTGGGGCGTTGGTCAGCCCAAATGACATAACAAGGAACTCGTAATGACCATACCGAGTCCTGAAAGCAGTCTTCGGGATATCTGGCTCCCGAATCTTCAACTAATGATAACCTGAACGCAAATTAATTTTTTACCATTTTTAACACAAACTAGACCTTATTATTATTATTATTATTATTATTGTTGTTGTTGTTGTTGTTATTGTTGTTGTCATTATTATACTTTACTCATATAAATTAACTACTTAATTAAAATAATTTATATGCCTATTATATTGTTATTATTATTATTGTTATTATTACTACTACTATTAATATTGTCATTATTATTAGCATAATTATTAATATTACCATTAACATGACTATTATCAAGTTAGCCATTTATTTTAATATATAATATTATATATGTGGAAAGTATTTTTATTAAGTCCAAATTATTTTATTATTAAGAAGACATGGAGCCCAATTAAATTGATTTGAAGAAGGAAAAGGCCATGAGTTTCGGCCCAAACAAAAGCCTTCATATCACCAAATTTCAGCTACCCAAGTAACTAAAAACTAAGTCTCCTAATCTCTCTAACCCTAATCTCCTCCAAACCAGCCGCACCCTTTACCTCCTCCATTTTTGAGCAAAGTTCCAAACCCCTTTTTCACCTCAACTCAGACGTGTTTAGCCATTTTAGTGCAACTCTTACATCGATATGAGAAGTAGACATCACAAGGATCAATATTCACATGGGTAAAAACGACTCTCTCCTTTCTTCTTCCATCGATTTTTGGTCTCTCTCGCTGAATATTTAGTTGAGAAAGGAAAATTTTGCCTTTGACCATATGAAAATTCAAAATAATCTCCTCTTACAAGATCTTCAAAATCTGAAAAAGTAACGATTGATTGCAGAGCTTTTCTGCTGCACTTTGGACCATTCATGAACTGTCATTTTGAAAATCAAAGGCCCAACTCGTGATCCCCTTCTACTTTTTCTTTTGAATTTCAAATCCCAAAAACCCTAGTCTTCTCCTATAAATACTCCTAAATCCTCCAGCAAAAGATCCATCTTTGAATCCTCGAAAAAAAATAGTTAGAACACTAAAAATCGAGTCAATAAGCAATTCTCTTCTTTTCTATAAATCTGTCTCTATTTGGTTTGCTAAAACAAGGTTGGTCTGTCTCTATTTCCAATTAACTTTGCATGGCCATTTAGTATTACGTCAGCTGAAAATCAAGTCAGTAGCTATGCTAACACTTGAGACGTTGCCTATTATTAATTCTAGATATCATATTTTATTTTCCTCAGTCTTTGAATCTAACTTTAGCTTAGAAGGTATTCATTTATGTACCACCTATTTGTCAAAGTCAAAGGGACCAACGCATTTTAATTCTATTTATTTTCAAAGAACCTATTTATCATCCTGACTTCACGTGCTAAAAATTGGTGTACAAAACCTGGTTCATTTTATGCCAAATTGCCGATTCCAAAAATGATTTCTTAAGTGATGTATGACTTAAGTAAAGATCACTGCCTTTATTCAAACTATTCTTAATTTCTATTTCTCTTATATATGTTCTCATCTATAATACAAATCAATTCTTTTAAACACCAGCTTATACTTTTAACGCTACCACTTAGCCTTAGTCAATTAACCCAAGTTTGGTTGGTAACCATTGTTAATGGATTTTGAAGAGTGCCTAACACCTTCTCTTTAGGATAATTAGAACTCTTACCTAGAATTTTTAAGGTTAAACAGACCATAAAACAGAGTTAACTTTAAGCACTACATAATTAAAATTGGTGTCCTAATTCACCTTTAAATTAATTAAGTGGCGACTCTTTAATTAATTAAGCCTTCAGAATTACCAATATGTTATACTCTAATTTGACCCGTGTTAAAATAAGATATAACAGAACCAAGATGAGATTTCCCTTACCTCGGTCCGATGGGTCGACGAACGAGGGTAGCCTCATAG